ACATAAATATTTGTGTTAATTAAAAAACTCTCCAAAGCTGAAACCTTTTAAACCTTGGACATTTAAATATAAAATATTCAGACTATCATTTCGCCTTGATAAAGGTGTACCATTATGAGCAAGGACCTTGGATGTGTTAAATACAAGGACTATTTACAGGACTAGTTACAGAGAGAGTATACAGGAACACTTTTAGCACTTTCACTTGTACTCTGCTTTAGCGCCTCACAAAACGTGAGGTCGCCGGGCACTACACTTATAACTTCTCCATTCTGTGGTTCCTCCATTGAAGTTAGTGTTGGCTGGTCAGACAGAGCCGCAGTGTCGTCCGTCGGTTCCAGGGCAGGAGATGGCAGGAGGGCTGTCATAGGTGGTGTGACAGTGTGGCAGTTTTCTTCCGTTGCATCAGACAAGTTCATTGTTTCTTTCTCTTGATTTAGTTGATGCCGATGGATAAAAGTCTTTATTTGGTTGTTAAATTCATTGTGTGATAAACCATTTCTCAACTTTCTCAATGATTTTTGGAAGTACGACACAATGGTGACTTTTGCTCCTGTTTCGTTTTGAAAAGTTGTAAGGTTATTTAAGAAATCAGCCAAGGATATATTGTCTCTAACACAACCAACTGGCGAACAAATCAGATGTGTTAGGTTCTGTTCCTTAAAATGTGTTGTCAATTCCTTAAAAGCAGCATAATAGTCCTTTATATTTGGTTTTCCATTATAGTTATCTTTTGTAATTAGGCTGTACACGGTAGCACCCGGTTTCTGGTGTTGAGCTGCCAGATGACTTGAGACACGGTGATGAGGTTCAGGTTTCCCAAAGTGATTTTTGAAAATCACTGCCACCCCTGCTGTCATGTGTCGAGGGTGATTAAAGTCTGCCGATATGCTATGTGCAAACCCAACTGATTCATGATGCCGGTATTGTGCTATAATATCAAACATTGGTTTTTCTGTCAGTGTCATTTTACATTGGTTTTGTGAATTACATTTTTGGTTTGTATTACATGAAGTTTTTACTTGTTGATTGCTGTATTGTTGAGGATCATTTGAAGGTGGCTGACAAGATCTGTTTTGGTTCAAAGACCACTGGGAGAGAGTTTTAATGACTACACGGGCCAGTTTAGCTCTGCCTCTATTGTTTATGTGGAGACCATGTGTTGTAAAATCTGCCCTAGTCAAAAAATTGAGATTAATTAAGAATGTATTTTCTAATTTTGCTACTAGTTCTATTATGTATTTATTGACTAAATTTAACTGGATGTTTTCAATGCTGTTTGGATGTCTGTCATATCTTACAGGAATCGTTGTGATGAAAACTGGTCTGATTTTATTGACAGACACCAATTTCTCCTCCAACTCTGTGAAAATGTTAGAATAATTATTATTCAGGCTGTCATTACTTCCCCCTATAACTATTAGTGGTGTGTTCAAAGTTTTTTCTATTGAGGATGATTTGATGACATCAATCAGAGTGGTATTAGGTCGTACATACCCAAACACATCTATTTTTCCATAGCTTATATTATTTATTGTGGACGCCAACATTTTCCCTTGGCTGTCTGAACACAATGTAGCTCTTATGTTATCCTCTTGTTTCTTTTGCTTTGACATATGGAGTTCAAGTGTATTATTTTTGGATTGATTTTTAGCATTGAAGTTTTTATGCTGTGTAAAGTTCTTTTATCTTTCATTTGGCAAATAAATGTCCAAGGTGATGAACACATATAAACCCCCTATCAGTCAAATTGTACAAATAAGTAGGGCTACAAACTTAGATGAAACTCTTAATCTCAGGGTTCTAGGAATGTGCCGGCTTAAAGTAGGCTTATGTGATGTTGGATAGGCATAAGCCTAATGTTCATCACAAGTTATGTACAGTTCAATTTACACTTTTGAAAAGAAGAAAGTTCAAATTTTGAATTTAGTAAAATTATAATTTAGGTAAAAGTTCAAAACGGCAAAAGCCAATAGAAATTTTGGAATGTGAGTATTTAGCAAAGCACAAGTTCAGCCCGATCTCACCCAAAAGTCCATGGCAGTCCTCTCCACAAATATACTTCCCGAGGCAAAAAATGATATGTATCAAATAATTGAGAAAAATCCCGATACTTCAAATACTATAAAGTTAAATCACCAATCAAAAGTTTTAAATAATCCTCCTGTCTTGCTTCCTCATTACTTATTCTCAATTGAAAAATCTTGATTCTTGATGTTCAATTTCATACATCTGTTTCAACAATTAGTTCACTGGTTTCTTGATGTCACTATTCACTGTTACTTTTATGATTGGTTGGTATTATATGAAGAGTATTTTAATTACATTTTTGAAAGTGAAAGAGAAAAATAATTTTGTAAAATAATTCAAACTGTATAAATAACTTCCAGTGACTATAAATTTAGCTTATTAAATAAATGACAGTGTTTGATGAGAATGTGAAATATGGAAATTTACAATAGGTGGAACCTTTTGCCCTTTTACTGCATGTAAACACATGTGATAATTTAGAGGTATTAATTTAGCTAATAGTAGGCCTAGGTATTTGGATACATAACACATGGTTTATTAACATTCAACTTAAATACAAATTCAAAAGTAAAAAATGAGGATAATTTTGGAACATCTCAGCTGTGCCGATGATTTGGGCTTTGTTTTATGAGCCACATTCCTGATCTTGAAGTTTTTTAAAGCGAGTTTAGATTGCGATTGAGATTGCCATTCCTTGTCCGATTGATCTGTCCTTGTCTCATTGATTCTTTCATCATCATCAGACTCACTTAGTAAATTAAAACGATTTTGCACATGCAGGTGTTCATTTGCCTGGGGTCTATTTTTCGTTTGACCTTTCCTACCTCTATGGAATGTCCATTCCGTATTAGTTGAAGTTTCAAGCATGACCTTATTAGAAACTTCTTTTATAACTTCCTGGTTACGATCTATGGCTCCATTGACATTTTGTATGATTTTGCTGTTTGTTTTTGGTTTTACAGAAAATACTAAGTCTTTCAGAGTATTTTTGTGTAAAGTAACATGTTGTTTGTTATGTGAGATCAAAGCAAGCTGGGCTCTTTTGGTGAGAACATCAGACTGAGAGAAGTTTGGAAGTATTTCTGTGAGGATGTTCTGTGACAAAGATGTCAAACGGCAATGCATGATAGATGTTAGTATAATTGTGGCATTTAGTATCATGTGAATACCACAATCATGCCCATTGGTTTGTGAAGGTGTCTTGATATTGATTACTGTTGACTGTTTATCAGTTGTCTGGAGTTTTCCTGCTATTATTTGAGCGTGTTTAAGGTTTACCTCACCCAATGAATCAAAATGAAAGAAAATATCTTGAATTTTATCCCACAACATAAGGCTCCAGTGTGTTCCTGACCCTCCAAGATTCTGAATACTTTCTGAATCATTAATCGGGATGAATATATAACTTTTCCCAATCAGCTCTTGAGCAGGGATTACATTTTGATACTCATTTAAGGTCTTAATTGCTACTGTTACTACAGGATTTAAAAACTGGAATTTATCATCTGCTATACTGTCCAAGGATTCAAACGAAATTCTGACTGTATCATCGGTGACCCATTGGGATTCAAGAAGGGACAATGGAATATTTAAATTATTGTCTTTCAAACTTGAGCTAGAAAGTAGATCATTACCAAGAGTAGTGTTGGTACATGAATCATTATTTTGTACTTGTAACGGACTACTAGTGGCTGAAGGCATTTCAGCGAGTAGTGCAGAATTTTCTAGTAAAATGCTATTACTGCTGTTTGTGTTTTTTGAGCTATTATCCTTTTTACTAAAACTCAATTCCATTTCTTTTATAGCAGCTTGAAGGCTTTTATTTTTGGTCGTCAAATTACAAAATCTTGATTTGTTTTCATGATATTGACATAAGTCAAGCTCTTTTACGCTAGCAGTTTCGTGTGTGCCATAAAACGTAACTTTATACTTAGGCAATTTGCTTTCAGTATCAATACTGTCAATCAAAGCTGGCCAGTGAGGATAGCCTCTTACTTTGGCAAAGACTTTGTCACCAGGGTTAAATTTAAAATTAACCCTATCATTTCTACCCATTTTAGTTAGTTAATACCAGTTTTGGTTTATAACATTTGTTTTCAATGCTTGCTTATGAATAAAAATAATATTAAATAAAATTGAAATAATCTTTAGATAAAAATTAAATAAAAATGTCCTCTATAATATATTAATAAGTCTTGATGTTTGTCATCATGTATTATCAGGTTGTATATATTATATATATATGTATTTTATTTTCTCATCACTTGTTTTATTTTATATTATTTACAAGGCCAAAATTCCAGGATCAGTTATCTAGGTAATGTACACTCCTAAGTTACACAACAAGTCCTAGATTGATAAGGAACAGGTTGTCTGTGGTCAGTCAGGGCAAGGTTCAGCAACTGACGTAAGTCTGTATAGTTTAGACACCAGTGTCTAACCTGTCCAGATCCTGTTGCAGGCGAATGGATGCACAGGATGCCAAAACCCGACAAAAATAGTGCCAATTTTATAAGTTTTTGTGATCTTCTTTGCTCCTTACTTTAATAATCAAACTGTTTCATTATGATTCCAAATATAATTTGTAATGATATAACATGCTTTGTTTCTTGTGAGTGCTCTTAATTCAGGAATAAAAGTGGTTTGAAACTATGACTGAAAACATGTGACAATTTGCATCCAATTAGTAAGTAAAACTATTTAAGATAATATTAAGTTTATTTACTGTCTCCTTGAAATAGTTATGCAGAAAAACTTGTTATAAACTGTTCTTGTATCAATATTACTTACTTTTAACACCTTTTAAAATTTGAATACCACAGTATTTCATAAATAAAATAGAGCACTTTAGAACAAGACTGATTTTTTCAAACCATTTAACAGCAAAAATCTTGCTTGAGTATTAATCTTATTTGACATACTTTCTGAGTTTACAAAAGGACTAATTATATTTTTTCATGTAAGATTACCTGGCTGCTCCTCCTGTACAGTTCGGGTAGGCTCCATGATCACCCAGGCCACCCGGACCAATGTAACCCGTGGGACACCCGGGAACCGGGTGGAACATGGTGAAATAGAGATGAACACCCATAAGAGTGAGGATGACAATCCACTGTCGCCAAGTGTCGACCAGCTCTGAGAAAGACAGCCAGCGACCGTACTGAAGACAAAATAGAGGAATGGAAACAACTTGCTGGTTAGTTTGTTTATACTTTATAAGTTTAAATGATGTAAAACTAGTATCTTTACTAACTCAAGTGTACAGTAAGCCTTCAGCAGATTTCTCTTAGATTAGCCTTAGCAGTGTCTTAGATTACTCCCCTCTAGCCTGTCAAAAAAGGTGGTCAGTTAATCTGTTCTAAAATTAAAACTTTTTGGTTTAGCCGTCATTTTCTGGAAACCAAGATACTTCCATTCATATCCGTATTTTTATAATAGATTTGAATAGTGTCTGTGAAGACCTAGCTTCGTAATAAGTTTTGTCATGTTGGCCTGATTGTACATTCATGACTCATTCTTCACAGTTTCCGATAGCCAATGTGTTGGAATATCAAGTGTCAGATTAACAGGTGTCAACTGTATTTGTAGGTCAGATCAAAATAATTAAGTGAAAGTGTATAAAAAATAACAGTTCAGCAAACTGACAAAGTAACTTCTCCAATTAGCTTAACATTATAAAATTGAACTTTTCACTACTTTTACAAGTAAAACAGTAAAAACACTTCATGAAAATGAAATCAGAGTTGTAATCTATATCTATACATATATAAAACATTTGATTGGTTTTCATGGGGAAAATAAAAAAATTGCATTAACTTTTGAACTGTAATTTTTTAAACAGCAATGAGGTTTGTAGGTTGTACTAGTATGTTTGAGGTTTAAAGGTTTTAACTTCAATTAAACTAGTTGTAGCCGTTTCCACACACTCATACATAAACCCACACATAACCACTTAAACACTACTTTTTTGGGTGCCCAAAAAAGATAATTCCACCCATAACTCAACAATTTTAACAAAAACAATGCTTTCTCCATATACTATATAGGGGGAGAAAGTAACAGTAAAATCTGTAGAAAATTACCTGCAAGCTGGGTTGTTTCTTCATGAATATCGTCTCAAGTGTCGATACAACCAGATGAGCAACCCCTAGCCGCTGCAGCACCCCGCAGAACCTCATGGTGTGGAGGTCATTGTCGTTGTGTGTGTTGAGGATCAGCCCCAGCGCGATGAGGACGGCCGCACGGCGCAGAGACACGTAGAACACATGAGTGCGCGACACACACGAGCGCAACTTGGAGCGATAACTGATCACTAGGCTGACACCCATCACCCATGCAAACCTAGAGCATAGGAGGAAGTAGAGTAATACCATCGACTACAGATAGTACTAGACATTCCAGTGGTTTTGTGTTTGAAATAATAAAATGCAACTGTTCAACAGCAGTTTCCATATTTTGTCTGGTAATATTTAAAACTCACCAGGGATATACGACATCAGCAATAGTCAATCCGTTCCACGCAGAGTGTTCAAAAAACCAAAACTTGCCGCCTCCGTAGTTAACGAAAATCATCAAGGCAATGGTAAATCTGTAAAAAACACAAATCAATTTCAGAAATAAAACCAAAGCCGGGTTTACATGATACCAGTTGGTGGGACAGTTGTCTTACCCAATTGTCATTGTGGGATATTGAATTGTCTCATTTGGTCTACTTCCGTAGACAACTGAATTTCAGGGCAGTTGGCAAGACGATTGGCCTGAAGTGTTTACACAAAGCCAATAATTTCATACCAGCAAGTTGTCTTCTGGCAATTATTGTCTCACCTACTGGCATTGTGTAAACCCGACTTAAATTTCCTTATCTCCAGATAAAATTTCCTTGTACAGGTATTAACCACCGATATCGGCATTCCTACTTATGTTATATAGTTTGTCATTTTAGAATATTTTAATATATTTGTTTGAGTGAATTGATTTATTTATTTATCAGCAGTTAGGTGGTATAGAGGACTTGGTATTCCTAACTTTGCCTTAATAAAGTCATTTTCATTTAATGTAATTTTTGTGGATTAATCACAGCCGTTTCGAAAGAAAATATATCATTGTGCTATTAATTACTCTCATATAACAGGTTGATGTTAGATAACTACAAGACAAGAGACTAATCCTTTACAAAGCTACGATAATTTAGGTAATACACCTAGTCCTCATCATTCTATTATCATTATTACAGATTACTGGGTGGTACTTTTTGGGGCTTCATTTTCAAATGTGACCATCAAATTTTCAAAACGTATCACATGAGGAACAAAAACAAAAATAAAAAATACTACACTTTGGTCACAAACTAGGCATTAACATTAAAACACATGTATGTTATCATACATTTGTGTATGGCATAAGTTTACCCTCTAAAAGTATCCAAAGCTTGAATACGTGGGGAGCTGAGTCGTCTAAGAGGCACCAGCTCAGACTGGATGAGAAGAGAGTCATCAGACGAACTGGGATTCCCCAGATCCTGCACACATAAACAAAGTAAAATTTTTTGGCAAACTGACACATAATTTCTCCCATTAGCTTTTGCGAGGTATAATGAGTTTTATGGGGAGGATAAAAAATTGCAAAAACAAACTGTTATTTTTACAATACGCTAAGGTGAGTAGTACCCTACCATTTGGTTTGTTTATAGTTAAAAGGACTAAATATACTAAATCTTTAATAAAAATTGTTAGAGCTGTTTGCGCAAAAATAGCATTTTCATGTTATTTTACAGGTTTTCTTTTTATGGAAATCACCATTAAAAGGCAAATTAAAAAATAAATAAAAAACGCCTGAAGTTACTATGGATTAGTACCCATATACCAAATTTCATCAAAATCAGACCAGAGATGTGGTCTGCAGCTTTGTTCACATACAAACCATTTCAAAAACCACTTGATTGGGTTTGGGGGACCCAAACGGATTTTTCCACCCAAAACCCAAACTTGAAAATGTTGACCAAAACAATACCGTACTTTCTCCATATACATGTATAGCCCTCTACTCCCCAGAAAGTAAAAAGGAGGAACAAAAAATAAAAAGGCTGAGAATTTATTTGCAACCACATGATGGCAAAACATAGAGAAAAAAACCTAAAACAATTGTAATTTACTTATCTAAGTGATGATACCGTAACCTTAAGTCTAATGTGAAAAACAATCTCGTGTTATAGCCTAGCATATTATCATAAACATCATATGAAAATGATGACATACTTTTGCTTTAATATACCTTAGCAGCAATCCAAAAAAGAAAACTTGCCATAATGAGCATATAAATAGCTTGTAGAGACTTTTTTACACTTACATTTCGCATGTCAATAATAGTTGCATCCCTGGAAAAAATGTTTTGTATCCATTGTGTTCTGCAAGCTGACCGAATCAATACATAGAGCAACATCAACGCTGTGAGGCCGTATATGGCCACTTCAAGTGCTGTAACAAATACAAGGCGAATTAGAATACATTTATTAATAATACTACAAGTTAGCATCTCATTGTTTTTGTAATTAACAGTATACTAAAATTATAACTATTATCGTTAAATAGAAAACTAAGGTTTTAGAAATCACAATCAAAACGATTCTCTTTTATGAATCTTTTATCTAGTGTCTAGACAAATTATAATACCCTCTACACAGCAAAACTTGCAGACTAATAGTTATTTGTGCAACTAGTGAGAAAAGTGATCAATTGACTCACTCGAGAGAAATCCTTACTCACGAGCCGTAGGCGAGTGAGGAATGGTTTCTCGAGTGAGGCAATTGTACTTTGAACTCGAGTTGCACATTATACTTTTCCTACAGTTACCATAAAAAAAAAAATTGGTGAAGAAACATAACCTATTTTTACACAGAAGTGAACTTTTAATATAACATTTAATGTGAAGTGACAAATACAACAGTACAACAGCTGACCAGCTGATTTACAGCCAGTGCTGCCAACGTATTTCGCGCGCATACGACGTTGCCGGCATGTTACGCGCTCACTATTTCGTGCCTTCACGTTGCAAATCTGGAGTGAGACAAAGTAATTAGAGTGAGACAATGTTAACATTGTCTCACTGATGAGCGAATTGGCCACTTTGCTTTCTCAAATCAGTGAGAGAACATGTACATTGTTAGGTAACTGTAGGAAAAACAAATTTCCTCTTGCCTGATGGGATTTCCACTGAAATACTGTCTTATACATGTTAGATGTATTCCCCATTATAAATAACATTTAGTATTAGCGAGGGTTAAGGTTTGCTGCTACAAAGAATGTCGTAAAGTGTTTAATGTTAATAACTTAGTATGATACAAAGAAATTGATCAAATTTGATCAAAATATGCCCATAAACGAGCAAACTACAAAAGTTTACCTATCCTCAATAAGATTAACATGCAAATTTTAAATTTATGGGGTTCATCAGTTTCTCCATAACCATTAGACATTCGATGATGCTTCAACATAATAAATTATTTGTTTTTTTAAAGCTCTACAAAATGTTTTGGAAAGAAACTCCGAAATCTTGTTTTGAGGAAATTAAATAAAAACTATTTTTATTTTTTACCCAATTAAACTCTGTTCCCATAGTCCGACCATACTTACCAAAATTATAATTCATATTTACCTAAGTAAGCGTTTTCTCCCTCATCCTCAACCGTAAAAGTGCAGTTAGTTCCGATTTTCCAGGACAAGAGCTCATGCTGATTTAGTAGAACTGTTTGGCTGAAAACACAATAAATCTTCACGATGTGATACCTCGGCTAAGCTAAATACAAAGATCTAGAAGCCTTACCAAGATCAGTCTTGCTTGGGTTGTGTTATGCAAACCAGCCAATCCTTCAGGGAAATTTGTAAGACAAAAGAAGGAAATCATCGACTATGTGCTCCATGCTCCATAATTTGGGACTTATCTAAACAAGCCGAATCATCTGTCGTTCCCTATTTGAACTTGCAATAACCAAGTGATGGTAATAACCATACATTACAAATCTTGGATCCAAAACTTCAAAATTTATTTTTGTTTAGTAAATATCAATATCCTTATACATAATACGTGAAGGAGATTTCTACGAAACACTACTCCTCCATTAGTGATTGATGGATTTTTACAAACGATGTGTCAAAACTAAGTATTTTTTGTGTGGACGCCCCTTTTCACCAATTACTGTAATAAAAGTCCTCGGGCTTTGTCTCACAGACCATCAAAATCCCAACGTATTTCTTATAAAGACAATTTACTAGCCCAGCTGTTAAATAAATCTTACTTCACTAGTGGAATTTGTCAAGTGTACCTGTCAAAGTAAAACCTCGATTAACCGCCATTCTTCTAACCGCTCATCTCGGATATACGTAATCTCAAACTTGAGTATTTCTGAATTCTTACTATAAAAAGGGGTAGCTACGCTGCAGTTTTTCAGATGTTATTTTATGAAAAATTTTTGGTGGATAAGCTAAACAGTAGGTGACGATAAGATAAAAATCACAAAAAACACACTAAACATGGAATTTTTGGAGATACCTGTTCCTTCTTTGGTACCAGAAGCAGACTCTCTGTTTTAGTTTTATTCCTAGAACCTTTAGAATCTACAACTAGGACTTAAAGAATCTACTACCAGTAGTGAAAGAAAGAGCTAGCAGCTCTTAAAATTGCATTTTAGGGTGTTTATTCCTGATTTTCATCTGTTATCGTAAGTGTGGTAAGTCTACTGTTAAACCTATCCACCACAAAATCCATTAAGTTTGGCCCAAAGCCATCTTTGCCAAAAAATATTTTTCGTCAGACTGCAGCAAAAACAGCCAGTTTAATGCTTGCGTTGCGGGTGTAAGGTAGCATTTTTTACTCTCTAGGAAGTAAAAGCGTTTTTAGCCCCTAGGGAGTAAAAATCTGCTGATCTAAACTCAGTTGTTAATTTCAATTGTAGGCCTAAACAATCCATGTATCGAAAGTATGTACCGATTGTTTGATTGATTGTACTTATTGTTCTTGTTGCCTTATGTAAACAGTTTGACATATCGATAGTATAATGTACACAATCACCATAAACAAAACAATTCAAAGCCTTAGTAGTAAACAGCTCCTTGTTTCCATTAGCTAATTAAATTGAAAACACGTTAGAAGTAGTTTTGTGAGGTTATCTTTTAATGAACACTTTTTTAGTTTGGTAACACAGTTTGTTCAAATAATGGGTGCAATATGACAAAAAATAAAGTTCATCACATGGACAAAAAGTGTCTTTTCATCACTCATTTTCCAACCTCGGCTTCGCCTCGATCTTTAAACTTGAGCTTGGATCGAAAAGAGTCACTTAAGGCCCTAGTGATGAAATATACTATTAAACCCTTTCATTGGTTATAAATGACAAAGGTGTATTTTTGGTTTACTCACTTGCAGATTGATTCGTTGCTGACTTTTCCGACTGCATAAAGAGTCAAGGGCTTCACAGCAGGTGTGACGAAACTTAGTGTGCTGGTCAATGGTACTGAGCTCCACAACTGAGGGTCACACTGGAAAAGAAAAAGGGCCAACAGTTGAAATTATACACTCTAAAATTGTTTATCAGACTTTGGTGATCAAATGGTTAAAATGATTAGGGTAAGTAAATATTAAATGAGTTAGCCTAAGCCTAAAAATGCATTTGACTGTGTTTTATCTATGATTGATTGACTAATGCGATACTCCCTGATGTGGATTAACGCCAGCAATAGAGACTATTACGGCCTTTTGCAGTACTATCCTGATAATTAGACCAATTTGTTAATTACAAGGGAAAAATGTGGTTTGGATTCTACAAGAAACTGTAGGTCCCTTAGTTGCTGAGCTGTATGGGCTATTAATTAACAGTTGTGTCTAAGGAACATGTTGGCCTTAGTCACTAACAAGACTACAAGATCGGGCCACTCATCCCACACTCATCTCCATTCATACTTGGCTTAAAATACCTACATTCGTATGATCGCCTTTTCAGAATAAATTATGAAAGTATTAATCCAACAAACCATCTACTGTACCTGATAACAATCAGATGAGAGCGTATATATGTCAACATTTTCTTCCAATTGATTTGTTATCAGTAGGCAAGCAGTGTCGTAGTTGAGTGAAGACAAATTGGACGGGCAGTTGCGGCTGGTGTCCATCTGGAATACAAGCTTCTTATCAACCTTTTCTTGCTAATTAGGCCTGTTTAATTAATTTTTCTCAAAAGAAGGCCTACTTTGCACAGTTGTGGAATTGTGAAACAAAACATTTTTGAATGATTAACTTCAATAATTAATGCAATGCATAGTTAGACATTTTTTTTCAAAAGAGACATTTCTTTATGTAATGTATCATTCTGTAATTCACAAAATATTTAGTGTGTCGTGGTTATATCTATCTTAAAATAAAGCTTTAAAACAAGAATATTCTACATGTGTTTTTTGTTGAGCCTTGCTAACACAAATTTACACAAAATAGCTTTAGATTATGCCATGCCTATGAAAATAGGTACAGTAAACTTACCTAATCTTACATAAACTTATATAGCTTACATAATTGTTAGCTTAATGATCTTAAAATGACAGTTGGGCCAAATTAGGTTGGGGTACAGTTCCGCAAAAAATCTGTGATATATTATCGATTTAAATATCAATATACCGATTTTCATTCAGTTCAATATAGCCTATCGTTTCTACAATATAATTTTTTATGTACATTGAATTGATTTATAATCTGCTTACGTTTTTATTGATGTTTAAAAAATGAAACCATCGATTGGCCTAGGGACTCAAGCAAAATCGAAATATATTTTATGAAAGTTAACCAAACAAACAATACTTAACTAAAACTTATTCACATAATTACTGCATACGGTTAGAAAATTTTCAGTTATTGAAATTAAAAAATAAGCCTAAGTAAAAAATAAAGAAACTACTTTATTAATGTTTGTTATTGTTTTTATTTATATAGGCTATCATATGGTAAAATTAAATTCGATGCGATATTTATATCAAACTGAATCATATTCTAGGCCTATATATGTTTATATTAATACGATAATAAATTGCAGGTTCTCTGCGGAACTGTAACCTAGGTTGTGAACCTCAAAACAGCTTTTACATTTTTATTTCCATTTTTTCTAACTTAAGTTAAAGCAAATCAAAGCAGATGGCTGATTTTTGGGTACCGGTGCTTTGGTATTATATGAAGGCCACCCTCATACAAAGCGCTGCGGAGGTTATGCTAGGTTGGGTTAGGCCTACCTATTATAAATATGTTTGTAGGACTTTTCTCGTTTTGTTATGAATCGAGCAATACCAGATAAGTCATACTTTCTCCCACCAAATCCCCTCCAAGTAGTCCAAGGTCAGGTCGTTGACCGGAGTATCACCTGTTTCTGGGTCTGTATCCTGAGTGATTCATTGCCGTGCACTAGGTTAGTTTTGTCTCCATAGTCCATAGTAAGTGACGTTCTTTTGAACAAAACTAGGAAAGTCCTACAAACATATTTATAATAAACCCAACCCAACAAAACTGCCGCAGCGCATTGTATAAGGGTGGCCTCCATTTAAACTCAATCCGCACCAACATCGCTGCCTTCTGGGAGGCAGAACTTAAAGGGCACTAATCGTAAGAATGTCAAATTTGGACAGTAACTTAAGGCAATTAAGGTGTATGTTCTTTCCAATTAACTTATGTAGCCTAGTTATTTTTAGTCTACAGTAAAAAAATCCCTCTAAAATAAGCGTATAATACCAAAGTACCGATTTTTGTCCATGTGTCCATTAACTTATTTACTTGGGATTTTTAATTGTTTGGAATTCAAAAGTTGAGATAGGCCTAGCTACTTTTAAGGTTGTATTGTGTTTGGGATTGTCTATCTTTATAACATCACTAGCTGGCCCGACAGACGTCGTCCTGTCCTAATGTGGTTTTATGTCAATGCTCGTTCATTTTCAAGATGAGCTCGTTCAAATTGCTCAATCACATCCTGGTTGAAGTTCGTTTGCTACGCTTACTCACATTAGGTTGGAGATCGTTCGCTGCGCTCACTCGCCTTCAGGTTAGCTCGTTCGCTACGCTAACTCGCCTCCACATTAAAGTTCTTTGGCTACGCTCACTCACCTTTTAGTTGCAAATCATCTGTTGGCATAAATTCAAAAAAATAATAGTGCTGCACCCTGTTGGTAAACCTATTAACTTTGTAATGCTATTTAACATCACAGAATCAAATTGTTTAGTTGAACCAGCTGTTCCATTTAAATTTGAGTGTGGTTTTATGTCAATGCTCGTTTATTTTCAAGATGAGCTCGTTCAAATTGCTCAATCACATCCTAGTTGAAGTTCGTTTGCTACGCTTACTCACATTAGGTTGGAGATCGTTCGCTGCGCTCACTCGCCTTCAGGTTAGCTCGTTCGCTACGCTAACTCGCCTCCACATTAAAGTTCTTTGGCTACGCTCACTCACCTTTTAGTTGCAAATTATCTGTTGTCATAAATTCAAAAAAATAATAGTGCTGCACCATGTTGGTAAACCAATTAACTTTTTAATGCTATTTAACATCACAGAATCAAATTGTTTAGTTGAACCAGCTGTTAAGATTCTTTAATTCCATTTAAATTTGAGTACTTTAGTATTTGATGTACACTCATAAGGTTATTAACATGGGAAACCCCAGAGCCTCTGGGGCGGAGCCTTTTTGACGGATCTGCACCAAACTTCACACAAACCATCCTTGAATAATGCTTAATAATGCCTGAAAGTTTCATTACAATCTGTCAAGCGGTTTCAGAGTCCATACAGGACAAACAAACATACATTGGATTTTATATGTATAGATGGTTTTGGGCACTACTCCTGAGGCAGCGGTGGATAGAGAAGAGTGGAGAAGCATCGTTGGCGAGGCCAAAAACCTTCTGAGGTTTCAATGGCCAAGGTAAGGTAAGGTAAGATGGTAACTTAAGGCCATGAAACTTAGCCTATATAAACTGAAGTAGGCCTAATGGTATAGCATCTTCCTACAGCAGGATTTAGGTCTATAAACTTAGGTGTACAATTTATCTAGCAAAGCTTAGATCTAACCAGGCCTGACTAACTTATGCTTATTTAACTTAGAAGGATAATTTGAGGGCGATAAATATCTCTAGGGAATTATTCTATAAAAGATGACTAGGTTAGGCCTATGTCTAATTATAGGTAAGTTAACATAGATCATTGTATACAGAAGTTAGGCTAACTAACTAAGTTAGGATAGGCTAATTCAACCTAGTCAACATAGGCCTAATAACTAGGTTAACTTCACAGATCTGGCTTTAAGTTGGGTAGGTACAGTTTCTTAACTGGGCTATGCTAATATAGATTGAAACTATAGAATTGGAAATATTGATTACCGGTAATAATCAATATTTTTAAATATGTCTATTATAAAATTAAACTATCATAACCTTACCTAACCAACCAAACTTGCTGATGGTGAAAAAATCGCATGAAGGTTTACTAACTTAATCGAATCGATAGTTTCAATCGATATTACCATAGCCCAGTTAAGAAACTGTACCCTTTAAGTTTACCACGAAGAAGATGGTTGACAGCTTAAGTTATTTTATGTTGTACAATATCTTTTGAACTCCAAGCAGTTTAGTTAGATTTATTAGTTATGTTTAGGAGTCTGGATAGTACTTAAATTCAATTAATACATTGATCTGTGAATGGGACTTCATCTGGCACCTATCAATTCAAGTTATTGATGGTTTTAAAGAAGTTAAAACCTTTTAAGTAGACTACTGTAACTAATTGTTAGCAGTAGGCCTAAGAAATGTGTACTTAATTACACTCTCCGGCTTAAAAGATAAGTAGGCCTATTTGAAAAATCATCAATAATTTTAATTCCGTAGCCATTAAGATGGTTAAGCTGTGCAATGAAATCATGGAATGATGAAAGAACAAACGGGGAACTTAAGATACATAACACGATTTCAGATTATTCCTATAGATAAGATGCCAAAAAATAGGAAAACTGTCAACTACACAATCCTTACCTTAACTTTGGAGTTGTCAACTAAAGTCAAATTTAAAAAACAATGCTAGGACTAGTATGTAGCATTTTGCTAAAATTTCATAACTACTGAGATTTTAGTGATGGAAAATCATAAAACACTTCACTCTTTGGCGAATGAATGCCATTCAAGAAAAAGAGAATTTCAACTGGAACTGAATAAAATGAAATGAAAATTCCATTAAAACAATACAAATAGAAAATTATGACAGAGAGAGACTGGTATTTGAAAACAGCTGTTCTATCATTACCAGCTGGTACCTACCAAGTTACCAACCAATCGCAACACCAACTTTTCTGACATATAAAAAAGCAATTCATTAGGATATAGTGAAGCATTGATTATGTATATAAAACAAAATATAAGTTTCATGTCTACATTATAGGCGTTATAGCATTATTGTTATAGTTGATGATCTTTCCACTAAAATAAAATATATTTAAAAATATAATTACTTGCAACCAGTTTGTTGATTACTCGTTTAACACGGTACCATTAAACATACTCCCTTTGTGTTAGTTGGTCCATGACGGTAGGCTGGCTACAGAACATTTGCACATACTACGCACAAGAATTTATTACTTACTGTACATGGAAGTTATACCACTGATATTAAATCTCCTAAAGTAGATGTCTTATTGTCTAGATGTCTAACACAGATCATCTCTCACTATTCTAAACTCACCCTTTACTCATATATTTGGGTTACGCACCTATAGGTGGCTCCCATCTAAAACAATTAGTTGATAAACATAGTTATTTTACAGTTTGTGGAATTGAAATAAATAAACAACTTTTCTCAAAATATAAACAAGTGTTGCCAGACATAAACTATTTTAAACCAATGTTAAAAGAGTTAAACTAATCTATAATAATCGTAAATCGATAGAGGAGTTACCGGTAGTAAATTGTTTAGTTAAGCCATCTATTTAATCATCTAGTCAAATTATTGTAGGTAGTTATGTGTAAGTATTTGCAGACTTATATTTATTTACTGTTATACAACTAGACTATAGGATGAGGCAGAAAGAACGGATCGTTTTTAACACATATTATTCTTACTAAGCTAGTAGGATTGGGAGGGAATGTTTGATATATGAGAGGGACTGATAGACATAAGAATACCCATGATAAAATGTTAAGTTATTTTCACAATCTTATCTAGTCTTATAAGGCATAAAGAGATTGACATGAGAGTCAGGCAAATTTGTTTATTTAAGCGGAATAAATGAGTTAGGTATTGAGTCAGTGTCGCGACAAGGTCTGTGAAACTTATTGTGACAACTTGAAAGAGTTTAGAAATCCGTAACCTCTTAATCGATGGGAGACATTTTGGTAAACTGCACCTGGTCGATCAACAAAACATAGTAATCAGAAACAATCGAGAATCATATAGAGTTTATCCATAAGCTAAATGCCAAAGGGGGGGTCGTGGTTCTGTGATTAACCGATTTGGCGATTAATTTGAAATTTACCTTAATTTATCCTCATCTTAAAATTATCTTTCACTTTTTAAGTACCGGTACCTATAGAGATAACACGACAAATAATTGTTTATAGCTTATATATTTTTTTCTAAATTAATTACAAGTTGTATTTATTAGAATAGGTTTTAAACTCTTGCTAATCTATATAATTATAAAAGGGGATGTCATGGTTTGTTTGTATATATATTTGGCAGTGATAAACTCAGACACCACTGGACCAAGGCCACGCTGGACCGATGGCCACGAAAATTGGTAGGTACATATGTCGAGTTTATGGAATAGGTTTATACACCAAAGAATTTCATGATAACTTTCAGGGCTTAGCCCTGGGACCGTCTTAAAGTAATTAGACATTCCATCCCCATGTTAAATTTGTAGCCAGCTTTGTTATCAAAATTGTCGTAGTTGATGTGAGCCACCTACAGATTGCGCTGATCTAAATTACTAAATTCTGCCAAATAAACAATCTTTTTACCCAAGTCAAACTTAGGGAATGACTTATGATGAGTTATAGCAACTGTGATGACCCATCAATCTGGTCAGCAACAAAAAATAAGGTATACAATAGAACTTTAGACACTAGCGCATTCTGTGACTGGCTCACACAACTACATTCTTTTTTAATAACAAATAATACAAAAACAGAACCAAAACACGTTAATATAATAAGTTATAGTACAATTTTGACATGGAAAAATAATAAAACATTTGCTATTTAAATTAATAAAAAAGCTGGTACTCCAGCCCCATCTTCAAACTCTCTAAGGGTCCTCCACTTCTTCCTTGTCCTCCTTAGACACATGCTGCTGGCCCTTAACGTCGCACAGATGGTTTTTACCCTTATCCACTTCATCACTAAACTGTATGGTTTCTTCCATTTTTATGTTAGGCGTTCTGCCATTGCTCTGAGCAAGGTCTGAGACTCTTTGCCTAGCATTCCGTCCACAGACGTGACTAGTGGGGTAAAAGAAGAATTTCTCGTTTCTGTCATTGTTAAATATTTTCTCTTCTTCTCTCTTTCTGCATTCTCCAAAACATTTTCGAATGGGAGGTTCAAGTACGATGGAGCATCAGTGTCAACGACACGTACATCGAATAATGCTTCCGTCTGAACCTCCCATACACCCCTACAAGCCAAGTCTGCTTTTAGTGCTGCAGTATCCAATGACTCTTACTCAGAGATCATTGGTTCTCGAGCACAGTTTCCCCATGCTAGCTCCATCAAGCTTCCAAGCGCATCCCTTACCTCATTATGCCTTCTTATTATCAAACCACCTGTGCGACAGTTAAGGGCATGATCCATACTGAAGTTTTTGCCACAGCCATCACATGAAGAGGGGAGGTGTATAGGAGTTTTCCCATATCTTAATGCAAGAGCATCTCTGAACTCCAGTGGAGAAAGATCTAAGTTAAGTTTTTTTAGAGGAATGCATGACAGCGATCCACTGTGTTTCGCTTTAGTATTTGCTCCTCGCAAGATAGTTTGTTGTTGTTTAAGAGGAAGATTTTGAATATTCGATTTCAAAATGTTTTCTTCTTCTAATCTTCTCTCCTCTTTCAAGTTCTTTTTTGTGATAACAAAATGTTCTTCATGTTCTTGCATACTTATTTTCCTCTTAGTTTTTATTTTAAAATCCGAATTATTCTTTTCCACATTCTCTCCCCGTAGTGAAGCACGGGCAGAGAAACTATAGACATCCCAGAGACAAAAGAACCCTGGGCCATTTCGAGCCGCGCAGGTTTGAAGGGTACACCACACCTACCAGCGCGAACCACGTGATCTTTCCGTTTCTGTGCAGGTTGTTTGTTCTTGGGATGTCTATAGTACCATATAATTTAATTCATTACAAAATATCCTCCAATGTCAAATATGGCTAAGAATAAATGAGCTAGACGTATATTCTAATGTTTGTTTAGGTAAAAGGTATAAAATAAAACTATGTAGATGCAAATCGTCAAAATATGTACGTATTGAAACGAATACATTTTATTAATATTTAAGTGAAGGAAGGAGTACAAATTTTAATAGTCTATTAATTCATAAACACCACACACACTATCAATTGTAAACCATAAATATAAACAAACTAGCAGAGCACCCGTCCTTCGTACGGGGTTGGCATAAAAGTATAAAATGCTCATTGCAGTACTTAAGCTTATACTCAAGCTTTGCGTTTGCAATAGGGGGAGGACACAATTTGATAAAATTTGGTTCAAAAATTTAGGGAATGATATAGTATAACACATCTACCATTGCCATAATGTTCTACCATTGCACCTAAACAATAGAAAAAAATAAATTATCAAACATTTGCACAATATCACAAATTATTCATTAAATAAAAAACTCAAACCTAACTGTGAACAATCCTACTTTGGCAGTTCTCATTGTGTATCACAGCTTTTTGTTGCTGCTTAGTTCAAATTAGCTGTTGTCATATATGCACAAACAAAATAATAATAGTGCTGCACCCTGTTGGGAAACCTTATAACTTTTTAATGCTATTGCATATTATAGAAACAACTTGTAAAGTTGAAACAGCTGACTAAATTCTTTAATTCCCTTTAAATATGAATACTCATAAGGTTAACATGGGGAACTACAGAGCCACTGGGGCGGAGCCCGAAAGTATTTTTGAGATAAGAATATGCCTAAATGTTAATAGGGAATGAGAGCTATCATCATGCCAAATTTAAGCCTAATCCGTCCAGTAGTTTTTGCGTGATTGAGCAACACACAAACATACACACAAACTCACAAACTTTCAGATTTATAATATTAGTAAGATGTTGTTAATTAGATTACATGTAATAGTTTTTGCAAAGGCGTAGGGCAAATGGTGCCCCTTGTATACATATAAATATGTTAAAGAGGTTTCATGATTTAATTTCTTTCTTCTTCTCCTTTAATGTCTGAAAACCAAGCTATATACGGAGTTTGTATCCTAATATTGCATTGAAATAAACTGTTTTACTACACACTTATCTTACAGCAATGCCCTTAGATTTTTTTACCAAGAGTTGGTAAAACACTCGACTACAAACATTTAACTTATGTATAAAATATACAGAAACGCCTTATTTCAGACGAGCATTCGGAAAAGGGAAACGATTTTGATGTTTGAAGGAAATTGTTTGATTTAGCAGAAAGTTTCACTTCGACGAACTCCCTACATTGAGAAGTGTCTTTCAGTAAAATAATCTTTCATATCTATGTTTCTCTTTGTATATCTATTGATGTGCAATGAAGCAAGTTTAGGAAAGATCAATGTTAAAAATGTATACACCTATCAATGCGTCTGAAACAAAACGATAAACTTGACCGGTAGCCTACATTGCTTGTCATTCGATTACTTGGCAAGATACACTTGAAACAATCCACTTTAGAATACACTGTGATATTTTATCCATACATAATTCGATTCCTTATTTTCCATGAATATTAGATCTTGAAACTTAACAACTTATGGTAATATCTTTTAACAATGGGAAATGTTAAAATTTAACTTTAATATCTTCAAAAAAGAAACTTTCAACAAATTAATTGGTGAGAGTTCGAGGTTAAGTTTACACCATGCACTGCTGACCTTAAGTTGAAATAAGTTTACTTTTGATTTGAAAGTTTAAATCCGCTAACAAACTTCAACTTGACTCGTTTTGGTTAGCCAACAGAAAAGTCACATTAACTAGCACTTTTATTAAATGAACTGTAACGTGCAATTAAATTGATT